TTAAAATTATTAAATTTTTAATGAGAGACTAAAATCGTACAATTATGATATTTGAGGGACTACAATTGTTCAATTAAAAATTGAAGGACTAAAATTGCACAATTACAATTTTTTAGGGACTAAAATTACCCAATTAAAATCTTAGAGATCAAAATTGCACAATTACAATACTTGAAAGATCAAAACTGCAATTAAGCCTATAAATAAATATCTTTAATATCTAAAAGATATGATAATATATTAATTATAATTATTTAAATAATTGGATCACAATATCTTAATTAATTGACCCAACAATTTCGCTGGACTGACAATTAGGAATAATATAGCAGTTTTATATGATTTTAGGAATTATGTAGAAATTTTATATAATTAGGTAAAATGGGATTGCAAGAAGGTGCATCTCCTTTTCTAGCATTAAATATGTCCCCTAAACTATATACCAATATAAGATCGTTTGGTATTTTCTCAATGCACATAAATTTTGGGTCAAACTCATGGTCACATATGCGAATTTTTTACGGAAGTGGAATTTTTTTAAAAAAAATTACCAAAAATGCACCTGTTACACTTTATTTATACATCTAGCACCATTCACTGTTCATACTCAGAATTCGGTTCCCGGGAAACCGAATTCTGAGCTTCAATTTTTTTATTTTTTTTTGTGATCAGAATTCGATTTCCCGAGAACCAAATTCTGAGTAATTTTTAATTTTTTTTTTGTGGCCCAGATTGCGCGAATCTTGGAACTAGAACGACCCGTTCTGGAAGCAGAACGACCCATTTTTGAAGTAGAAGAGCCCATTCTACTTGTACACGTAGACTTGGACCAACACATGCAGTGTACGAGTAAAGTCTGATTTTGATCCATGATCTGCTATGTAGTTTTGAATGTAAAAAAAGCAAACAATTATTATATAAAGGCTAAAGTTTAATGCCTACCCTGCAACTTGTCCTTCTATAAGCCATGGCCTCCAATCTTCCACAATGGAGTAGTTTAGAGCCCTAATCCATGCTTGCGTCGATATGAAAGGAACAATTGCATCATGATCTCCGCTGTCAACAACAAAACACCGATTGCCTTGTGAAATCAGCTGGCTCCTGATAGCCACGAGATAGCTAAAAGAAAAAAAAAAAAAAACAACAGTTTTCAGAAAACTAAAATTTAACTTAAGATGTGAAAATCTTCACCTGTATATTAATGAACGGTATCCTTTCGCACTAAGATTTACATGAATATCGAAGCTACTAGAGATCTGAAACTTAAAATCAGTTTTG